ATATTTAAATATTGTCATATATATTCTATTTTTAAACAAATATTTTATTTTTAAATTAGGACGCATTTTGCATAAGGCATGGTTAATCAATTTTTCCAAAAACATAGTATGTAGTTATCATAATTCATAATACCTTATATTATCATAGATATACATATACTCGTACCTGGTTTGAGAATAAATCGTTACGTTACGCGATTTCATAAGCATATAAAACTCAAACGCTTAAAACATTTTTCCTATTATGACGCTTCAAATATTCTCTATAGCTATTTGAAGCAAAACTTATGAAAAACTTTGTGTTGAATTTTATAACCTTAAATATAAATACAAACAATTTTATGAATTTTGAACTACAAATTAATTTGCAAATATTTATGGTTTTGACGAATTTTTGTCAATATTTGAAATTCAAATGCTAATAAAAAAAAATTGTGCCAATGTATTCTAATATATTTTTAATCACTATAAGGATAATTTATAAAAAACTTTGTATTAAATTTTCAAGTTTTTTTATAGGGCCAAAAAATTTTATCGACACTTCAAAAAAAAATTTTCAGAAAAATTGAGAATTTCAGTTGTCTATAAATATCTCAAAAAAACAGATATACTATAACTAACAAATATTTAAAATCGTTTGAGGATAAATCGTTATCGTTACGCTATTTCGTAAAAATTTTAAAATTCAAACGCACTTAAAATTTTTCCTATAATGATGCTTCGAGTTTTCTCTATAGCTACTTGGATGAAATCTTATGGAAAACTTAGTGTTGTATTCTTAATCCATAGTTATAAACACAAAAAATTGTATGATTTTTCAACTTCAAAATTACTTGCAAATTTTCGCGTTTTCGACAGATTTTGTAAAAATTTGAACTAGGTATAAACGCTAATAAAAAAAAATTGTGACTAACGATTTTTAATTTTTTTAAGCTACTATAAGAACAACTCTTAAGGAACCTTGTATTCAATTTTCAAGTTTTTTTGGTTATCCAATTATAAAATTAAACTGTATATACATTTGATTATTGCAATAAACAAATCGTAGGTTTTACAAAACGCAGACCTCTTTGGTTTCAAAGTTGTAGAAATCTTATTGATGTATAACATAGGCGCAAATAGACAAATTATTTTGGGGGGACTAAAGCCTTTCCTATAATATTTTCCAAAAATTATATATTCCCAGTACTTACTAATTAATGACTTTTGAACTGGGGGGACTTAGTCCCCCCAAGCCCCCACCTATTTGCGCCAATGATTAATATACAATCGATAATAATATGTTTTATATAGTATCTATCATCTGTGGCAAACGTCAATCGTCGTCACTCGGCATTAATTTCCGGATACGATTCACAATTTTATATTATTGTTATTTCATATTTCATTCTGCTAAGTTATTTTTTTTTATATAACTCGATACTTTCAGTTCAGAGTGAGATGAAGATCAGTTCCTGGATATATGGCGTCTGAGCTCTATATATGGCTCAGTTATATTTAACCCGAAGAATCTATTTATGCGTAAGTTTGATGAACTATTATTTTGGGGCTTACACATTTTACTTTTAAGTGAGTGTTAAAATTAATATTTATTGTCCAGTCAATCTGCTACCCAGTTTCGGGTGATGTAGAAACTAGATGCGTATTTTATTCCCGATCGCGCAACACATGAAATACGCAGCCACTATATCGACAACGACACATCCAGATCGTATAGAATAATACGTCATATTATATTTTAACAATTAAATAAGTATAAATGGTGTTACACATCTAGGCATAATACAGTATTACATACCGGTGTTTTTATATAGGTAGGTACTGTATAATTAAACAAATTTTCATTGTTACTATTTAAATATTAAATGTTTAG